TAAAACAGCCCCGACTCATGAATCGATCTTCACCATTATTGCTCCACGACAACGCGAGACCTCACACAGCACGAGAAACCATTTTGACCCTTCAGGAACTGCAGTTAGAAACCATTCGTCATCCTCCGTATTCACCAGACCTTGCTCCAATGGACTACCATTTTTTTCGTGATTTGGACAATTATCTACGTGACAAGAAGTTTTCTTTCCAGGAGGCAGTACAAAATGCTTTCACACAGTTTGTGCAGTCTAGATCGTCGGAGTTCTATCGCAAAGGCATTAATAACCTTCCCATTAGATGGCAGCAATGTATAGATAATAATGGCAACTATTTTGATTAAATAAATTTGTTAAAAATTTAAAAGGTAAACAATTTAGATTTTCAGTACAAATCGGCAATTTCATACTTTAACCCCTATTATTATTAATGCTTATTCTTACAACTTCACAGATTGAAGTTACGTCCAACCGAAAAAAAATTCTAATTAAAGTAATTTTGTTATTTATTTACACCGAGCTACGCTCTGAATTTGGTGCTACACTGACATAAATTGTAGGTACTTGGTACAATGCTGTAGGAAATGGATTAGAATTGATTTTTAAATTTTATTTCAAGTTTATGAGGTGTAAAAAAACTTTGTGTATTTTTACAGTACATGTTATATAAATTTCAAATTACTTCCGATATTTCTTCAAACGTAATTACTCGTTATGCATCGAGTATATAACTAGAAATAGAGACGAAATATAATTTAACTTGTTTGAAAATTATTCTGCCAAATCATTACGGTGACAACTGTGCTCCGATTGGCTAGTCCAAATTCGAAGCAACTAACGGGTGTAATTAACCAGTTTAACTTGAGCTTTGCTATAATGGACTAAAATTGAAAAATTACGTATTTAATTATAGATGAAATGTGATACCGTTTGTTTTGTAATTAGATGTTTTGCTGTTTTTTCCAGACCACCGAATGGAACAGCCCCCCTTTGTTAGAGATATTATCTTTATTACAATAAATACAGAATATTTTTGGAATATACGGAGACGTACACACAGGTCAGTTGTTGGCGCTGTACTATTACAGCTTTCCAATTTGTGATTTTTGCACAAATCAGAGTTGATATTTTAAAGTGAAATAAGACCCATTTGCCTGGTGAGTTGCCAGGGATGGATGGCCCTTAATTCGTCTCTATTTCTGTTCGAGCTTTTCATTGGTTATAATAGAGCTTCAGTTTTTTAAAACATTTTCCTGATTAATAGGTGTTTTTGAGAGAGGTCGTTAGATAGATAACCATCGTGAAATAGGTAATGTAAATTTTTAGTGCCGTAACAAAAATTCTTTTATGCATGAAGGTTGTTTTACAAGTTTTAAAACGAAATTAATATTAATGGCTTGCCTTTTGAGTGCGTGAAAATAAATGTGTTTGCATTTGGATGTATTAACGAATCTTATATAACATTTCATATACAAAAGGAATAAGCATTTGATTTGTACTTTGTACAAAATTAAAAAATCATCCGAATTTCAAACAGAGAAGATAGTTTCTCTATACTACTATTATGTTCTGGCCACATAGAGGCGGCTGCGGAAGCATTCCGGGCGGGGGAATTTTTGTAATGTACGAGTTCATTATGAACCCTGCCATACTGAAACGCACGGCCGCCTCTGTGTGGCCTGAGCATTAGGGATCTAGTATTTCTTCCGACGGAATATCCCAAGCACACCTAAGACTGCAGTACTACTTATTAATACATTTTATTTTTAATTTCCTTTTAATTAATCAATTTAATTCTGTTAAAAGCATATTGTTAAAATAATTTTTATTGCAACACGTAGGTATGTAGCGCAAACTTAAGTGGTTTGCATTAATATTAGACACAACGGATTGATGACTTTATCATCTCAAATAGCCGTGACCATGAGACCTATAAAGGGTCCGAAACGTTGCTTTGTTTGAAAAAACAAATGTACGCTATGTACATTCGAAGATGGTTATTTATATGAAATAAAATGAAATTAGATGCATGTGATAAAGTTTACATCAAAATAACATCTTTACTTGTATTTAGTAGCAGTTCATTTCCTTGTAAAAAAGTTTGTCCAGGGAAGTACTGCCACCTTACCTTTTTCTGCCGCCAAGCATTCATTAGAGTATTAACTGCGTTCCGGTTTTGAAGGGTAACGATGCTGGTGAAATAACAGGCACATGGGACTTGTAGTCAACTTATATCTTACGCGCCTTTTATTATTAAGCGAATGTGTGTGTTCGTACCTACACATATAAGACGCGCTGAAGCGTATGAACCACAGAAATCTAAATAAATAAATTTATAATAATGAATAAATTTTGTGTGTCCAGGGAAGTACTGCCACGAGTTACGGGCGCAGTGGCAGCCTTAGATCGTTAAAAAAAATTGTTCTGGCATAGCAATAAAAGAGGTACCGAGTAACCTAATCTAGCTACTATTAATTCTTACACCAAACAGTTTAATAAATAATCTCATAGAGTACTAAAAAAACCGACATCAAAAGTTCATGGAATTACAATTATTTGCCAGCTTTTATCGAAATCGGTTACCGAAAAGTGCGCAAAACCTGATTCTTCCCCTATGTTTGCCACACTTAGAGGTGTAATATTTTTTTCAAATTTAAATGAGACCAATCTCAGGTTATCATCTTTATAATAAAAAAGAATCATCTAAATCGGTTCACAAGTTTAAAGTTATCGCGTAACACACATAAAAAAAATACATTCGAATTGATTTTGATTGAACCTCCTCCCTTTTTTTGAAGTCGGTTAAAATCAATAAAAGTAACTTAGAAACTGGTTCAAAGTTTTGCAACTGCTGTGTTTTGCCATGCGCTCACTTAGGCCAAAATATAACGCAACTACTCACAATTGCACATTTCTGAGAATTGTCACATCAAAAACGTCAATATACCGCTTAGAATTAGGATCAAGTTGTCTTTATTTACCATTCGAATCAATAAACGATTACTGCGTGACTTGAAAACGAAATATAAAAGTTACTCAACCATGTCAAATACCCACGGCGTCAAGTTCATTTAAAAGATCCGGGCATTTCTTAAGAAAATTGTCTCAAATTGTTTCACACAATTGTCGGGTACTATCATCACCTAACATAATATTACGAGCTATTATTGTAATTCCATAGGAGCGTTAACTGTAAACAATAATTTTAAAGGATTTCGCTAATTTCTTTGACATTATTTCGCACCCTTACTTATAATAATATTCTAGGCTAAATTTGAAAACCTCGTAACTACGTTTTTCGATGAAAACCCCTTTTTACTATTCAAGCGCAATATGGGGCAACTAGAGCTTAAAATATAATTTGTAGACATTCTTTTATTTACAAAATAAAGGTATAATCATATATTGTCATAAAATTATTTCTAGTAATTTCGTTTTTTGTGCCCACTCAAAAGTTCACATTAATGGAGGTTACGAGGTTTACGAACTTAGACGACGATATCCGTAAATTAAACCACACCAATTGCCTGGTCTTAAACTAAGGAATTCCCTGTACTATGAGCACCAGGGTTTAGAAAAGAAGAAAAAGAATTTAGAAAAGTTTATTTCCCAAATAGGTACCGGGATTCGCATAAGCATCCAGTGACCATAGTGAAAACCATTGGGCCACCAAGGCCGTTGTTAGTTCCACCTATATTGTGACGAGCTCCATGGTTGAGTGGTTTGCACACGTTTTCACGGTGACGTCATTTCTAAGATCCCGGGTTCGATCCCCGGCCAAATCAATGTAGAAAAACTAACTTTCTATAATGTCTCGAGTCTGGGTGCTTGTGGTACCGTTGGTGTTTTCGATTTCCATAACACTAGTGCTTTAGTTACTTACTTTGGGTTCGGAGTAACGTATCTGATATTGTCTACCAAAAAAATGTGGATATTCCAGGGATTCGCACATTGGGCTTCCACATTTAAATGGTAAACGGCTATGGAGTGGAATTCTTTGCCTGCAGACTTATTCCCTGTACGCTATAATACCTAATTCACTATCACTTTTCAAGGCGATAGTGAATAGGCATTATGTAGATGTACACTCTCCATCATCGACCTTATCGTCACTTTCCATCTGGTGAGACGGAGGTCAAATGTACATATTTTTATAAAAAAATGCCTAATTACATCTTTTTAAGAGAGTCATTTATCCTACGAACGAAATTAGCTGGTAACTTTTTTAAATAGGAGAGTTATAAAATTTCACATTTACGTAATTTGTTTCATGTACTGCGTATTATGTTATGATTTTCATGTTATATAATATTATGATGTATTGTTTATTTATTATTATTATTATTTATTTAAACACTTTATTGTACCACAAAGAAAAGTACACATTTTTAGAAACAATTTAAAATATTTGTGTACAAAGGCGAGCTTATCCCATAAAGGGATATCTTCCAACTAACCTTTGAAAAACTGAGAGGAATGTTGGTTTTTGAGGTGGTACTAAAAATAAATAAATAAAGAAATTGAATGCTACTATATTCAATAAATACACAAATAAATTTATTATATCAAATGTACATACGAATACAAACATATATATTAAGTAATGTTGATACACTAATACATACAAAATCTGTAGTAAAATGAATTCATAAAATAAAACTATAAATAAATATATCAAATGTAAATAAATATTTCATAAGCTCTAAAATGAGATGAAAAATCTTCAAAAGGCACCCTTGAAAATCGGAACCGAAGTCAACTGTCTGATCTCAACCGGGAGAAGGTTCCACATACGGGCAGCATTTACTGTGAACGAGTCCGAATATTTTTGTGAACTGTGTTGTGGAAGGACGAGGAACAAATTGGTGAAAGAAAATTTATATTTATTTATTAAAACTTTATTGCACACAAAACAGTACAACCGGAGAGCTATGTTCTAAACAAATAACAGGGGTGCATAATATGATAATTAAAAATAAATAGGAACAAGTTTATAAATAATTATGGTGTATTATCGTAAGTGTCTGTATTATACCACGGTTGGATAATTTACAGGTTACTTTTTTCTACCTAATTTCGGTGGCAGTTTTTATTATTTAAGTATTCAAGTATATTACCGTGAAATATTAAATAATATTTCAAGTTACTACACTAGAATATTAAATAATACTTCGTGATAATATTCTACAATATTTAAATAACAGAAATGCCACCCAAATTAGGTAGACAAAATTAACATGAAAATTACCCAGTTACTATATATGATTATAATCAAGGGTACAATTTCAAAAACCCTAAGGTAGAGATATTGAATTTGGCATTATTTTTCAGGTTACTTGAAGATTCATAAATGATTCTTGCATTTTTTTATCATTTGTCTAATATTTCGATATTGTGATGTATTAAATATCTATAGAGCGCTTGCCAATAGGCCAAGGCCCTTGGGCCTTGTACGAATTTAAGAAAACCGCAAATAAAATCTATTAGTCACGATCAGCGTGACTGAAAATTTAGGTAGACAAAACGTAGACCCGTTTTTAAAAAGCGTTGTAACAAATGACCTTTTAATTCATTTGTTTAGATTCCCACGACATGGTGCTGAGGTTCAACAACGCCCCGACTGGAAACTACACTGATGATGTTGGATCCAAAACTACATTTCGTGTATTAAACTCACAAGTAAATTGATGCAGTACAGTTTGTATAGCAGTAATAGATTAGCGACAGCGTAGTTGTAATAAAGCTTGCTTCATAGGCAAAATAGAATACAATAGAAAGCTCTTTACTGTTTTTCATTTCTATGTTACAGTTGGATATAACTGAGAATTACCGATTATTATTAGGTTATATACAATAATAATTTAAATATAAATAAATAAATATAATAAAATGCTTTTGTACCTTGTACCACGAATTTTTTGTAAATCTTGGCGTATCTAAGTATATGTAGGAGGAATAAAATATTATACTTATTACTTAAGAACTCGATATTATACTTATTATTATTTAAAATAAACACCACGGAAAATAAAAAATAAACTACCTGCCTTACCTATTTCAGCCGCCAAGCGGTAATGTAGGCGTTATTACCATAAGGATGCTGGTGAAAATAATTACAGGCACATGGAACTTGTCAACTTGTCTCTCAATCTCAGAATGACGGGCTCAGTGGCAGTTCCCCTCAGACGTTTACGATGAAAGTTCCGAGTGGCACTGCCACTGCTATGGACAGGTGAACGCCTTGTTCATCCCGTCACTTGATATAAAAAAAATCAAATAAAAAAACGCTGTATTACCACAATATAAACACAATATTTGCGTATTTTTTCACAATTGCGTAGCTGAAGACGCTGGTATTCAGCTACGCAAGTAATTTATCGGTGTAATAACTTCCAGGTGGTCACTAAACGAGAATTCAATTTCCCCGAAGACCCGTTGTACAAGAACATATCGATATTGATATGGGATCCAGCAAACTATTCTTCTACACTGGAGGAGTGGTACCAACATCCTGATTTTCCTCTCTTTCCCGTTTATAAAAAGTAAGTATTAAATAGACTGTATATAAATAGTGTTAAAATTCTGAAAGAAAGCCCTCGCGGGCCGCATTAGCGGCCCGGCGCAACGCGCGCCATCTAGTTATATATATAAGTAGAGTATGTAATCAGAAATTGAGACGAAATTTTTAACAATGCCGTGCTGTTCATTTCGATGGTGTGGGAAAAACAGCAAAACATCTAGTTATAAAACAAACGGTATCACAATTCATCGGTAATTAAATATTAAATATGTAATTTTGCAATTTTTGTCCATTATAGCAACGCTCAAGTTAACTGGTCGAGACACCCATTGATGACACTCGTCAATTGTTTCGAACTCGGGCTAGCCAATCGGAGCGTAGTTGTCACAGTAATGATATGCAGAATAGTTTTCAAACAAATTAAATGACATTTCGTCTCTATTTATGGTTATATGCTCGATGGTATGTGTATAAAATGTTGTTTCTTCTTGTGACCACTAGGGGCGCTGTATAATTTGCCAAGTAAAATTGAGAAATAATCTACGCGATCGCTAGCAACTGTCACAGTAAACTTATGGTAGAGGCACTGTAAGTATAAAGTTTTTAATCTTTCCTGTAATCGTGACTAACCCGTTCATGTACAGTATTTAAATAGTACTACACACAAAAATGTTATTACTTTTCTTTGTGCCGTATTAATACATCGATAGATAACACGTTTATTCAGCACAAATGCAAACAGAAACAAAACATTTACAATCACTTCACAAAGTATAGCATAAAAACACATAGAACATACATTATTAATTTAATACACATTTGTATAAAACACATACTGTGAAAAAAACAAACATAGTGAGAGACGCAAACAAATACTGAGAAATTTAACAAAATGTTATATATACACAAAACACTAAGAACTCGTACTGTACCTAACGTAGTTGGTTTTTTGAGATTCATATAGCGAAACGGGGTACGGGGTAAAATGTCGTTACTTTCCATGAACGGGCTAATCCAGCAAGATGGAAGAAATCACAAGACACTGCAACATTGTCTTTCTTTACGGCCATGTACAGGAGTGGAATAAGGGGTACCCATTTAGTGTAGATCAGGTTCGTAGATAAGTGTTTTAGACGCAAACATGTGTCTTGTGTTGGACACAAGTAACCGGCAACAAGAAGCCGCTAGTTTATTCCTGCCGCCAAGCAGTAATGTGAATATTGCGTTCCGGTTTGGAAAGGTAAGGGTGATGGTGAAATTACAGGCACATGAGACTTGTCAACTTATGTCTCAGGATGATGGGCGCAGTTGCAGTCCCTAAGATCTTTGTGATTTAAAGTTTTGAGTGGCACTGCAATATACAATTGATATGTAATAGACACAGTCATCGGTTGCGGCAACCGGACACAGTCGCCGCCCAGTTGCGGCAGTCGAACACTGTCATAGATGTACTTTTTTCCTATATCTATGGATACAGTCGCCGCTTGCCGTAACCGCAATTGTATGGAAATATAATATTTTTTTTTTGTTGATGATATGATTAAAAAGCCGAAAGCGCCGGAGCGTCTTTTTTGACTGTTCATTCGCACCCTTTGGAGTTCAAAACAAGTTTCAGGTGTTCCAGCACTTGTTCTCTCAAAATTAATGAACCGGCTGAGGGGGCCTATAAGCTAAGAATGTTATTTATTTATATGCTTCCGTGGTCGAACAGTTACCATGCCGGACTGCCACGCAGAGGTCCGAGGTTCGATTCCCGGGCCTGGAGAAATATTTGTATGGCCTACATTTATTTCTCTCGTGAGTTTGGGTGTAATTTGTGGTTGTCTATGTGTGTGTCCATGGCACCCGCGACACAGGGTTTCTCTAGTGCGGAGCTATGTTGAGTGTGTATGTTATTATTATTATTCTTATATTTGCCTATAATTGGCATGATTTCAAGAAGCAGATTTATTTTTTGAAGAATTTGTAAAAAAATAAACGAATAAAATAAATAGACATTAGACAACAACAGATACGTTACCCCGATCGCAAATTAAGTAACGAAAGCACTTGTGTTATGGAAATCAGAAATAACGACGGCTCCACAAATACCCAGACCCAAGGCTATATAGAAAATTTAGTTTTCCTACATTGACCCGACAGAGGATTAAGCCCAGAGCTGGCGACACCACGAAAACTGATATGCAAACCGCTCGACCACGGAAGTAGTCTGTATAAAAAATGTATCAAACGTTGTTGGCATACTAATAAATATTATTATATAAACATTTTAACAACAAAAAGTGATAGGAATTTAAATGGCCGATAACGAATACATTAACTCGTTAATCCATTAATCATCGCAATACATGTTGCACAATTTATTGCTTCACTTGTTTGAAAAAAAACTTTATGGTGTTTAAGGCTATTGGAGCAACAAAGCGACGCTGACGTGCATTTGTTGAAGCCTCAGGTACTTTGGGAGCTATGGGGAGTCTTGCAGGACTCATCTCCTTATCGATTAAGAAGAAATCCCCCATCATCTGGTTTTATAGGTAAGTTCTGCGTACTTATTTAGACAATAACTTTGAAATAGACAGAGTATAACTACGGGATAACTTCTCATATATATCGAAGCTAGGCAATCCGATTAATTCGCATTAAAATAATTTTCATGTTCAGAGATTTGTACCCTGCGACACAACATTCTAAGCTATATGGGAATAAATACAATAATGTACTACAAAGTATTTTTTCTTTTTTTTTAATGTCAGGATGTTTCACTATCATGATATTCAATTATTTTTTATGAAATTACTCTACTAGTTTGTTATAATTACTAATACACAGATCAAACACTTAGAAAAAATTCTTTCGATCCGGCCGGATTCGAACCGATATCTTCGAGCAAACCGTGACAGACGCTATGCCAACGAAGCCACGGAACGAACCAGCGGACCTCACGATTTTTTCTGTGTGCTTGTTTGTCAGCTCTTTGTATTGGATTTTAACGATTTTTTAGCCGTAACGCCATCTATGAGACATGTATGAAAGTATTTCGTCAATGTAATACAAATTTCTTCATTATTATGTATATAAAATATAGATAAATATACATTACTGGGTCAGCGAGTTACCTTCTTATCTTATACTAAAGGAATTTAATTAATGAAAACTTACGTGCGCGAGTGAGTGTGTGTGTCTGTGTTTGTTTGTTTGTTTGTTTGCTTATTTGTTTGTGTGTAATTGACAGTGGGAAAAGGTGTATGTGCGTGTTTCGAGTGTTGGAGTTTCTAGTGGGAAAATACATGTGTAGGAAATGAAACTATTTTTCCGGATTTAAATCGCGTATATTTGTTTTTCTAAATAAATCAACGTTTCGGGCCCTTAATTTACAGGTCCCATGGTCACTGTTGATTGACTATGTAACCTGTAAAGGGCCAGGAACGTTGGTTTCTTTGAAATAATAAATGCAAGCAATATAAACCCCAAAAAATTGTTTCATTTCCTACTTGTAACAATCGCGAAAACCTGAGAACTCGATAAAAAGATGTATGTTTGTTTACAAAGTGTAACAATCACGTTACGTTATAAAAAAAGAATGGATGTTTTGTTTGGCTAAATAATTCTACGTAGTTACAACGTTGACTATATTTCTACCTACTGGTTTGTAAACAGATTTTTTTTTACAATATTTTTAATAATTTATTGTATAAACAACCACCTAGAAACTGCAAATGATCTATGCAAAAAGTGTAGTAAACAATATATACGTAACGTATTTTATATCTTTCTCGTGTTAATGTAGAGGGATTGTACCACAGACCACATGATTGTACTAATAATTGATTTTAACAATGGCGTACAGAATGTAATAAAGTTGTCGCACTCTGTGCATTTTTTCTTTGGATGACGTGCTTAGTGGGAGTGTCCCTCAGATCTTTAAGATTTATAGCTCTGAGTAGCATTGCAACTGTTATGGACAGGTGTATCGCTTTCCACCAGGCGCACGACTTGTTCATCCCGTCAAGTGATATCATAAAAAATAAAAAAACTCTGTAGTGAAAAATAGAAATAAACGCTGAAAAACATTGACTTTTATGGAAAGGCTAACGTATCAGGATGCTCCATAGAATCAATCACCACATGATTAAATTAAATCAATGATAAAATTAATCAGTTGATCAGAACATGTTGCAAGGGTATAAGTTATATAATCAAATTAAGCAAAATCTTGTACATTGTATTTTTCAGTGGGGAAAAAATTTAAAAAACGAGTGCTTTTCCCAAATCACTAAAATGAAATAGTTTGTCGGCTAGTATATTAATCAATCACATTATTATTATAATACATTATGAATAAAGAACTTTCACCCATTCAATCCAAATGTTGAAACGTTCACACGACTAGTTGATTGAACTGGGTTAATTACATCCACATCTGGTTTCAAATTAGGAAATTCCTTATAATATCTTAGGATTTTTATGATATCAAGCGACGAGACGAAAAAGTCGTGCGCCTAGTGGTAAGCGACATGCCTATCCATGACAGTTGCAGTGTCACTCAGAGCTTTAAATTGTAAAGATCTGAGAGGCATTGCCACTGCACCCGTCACTAGGGCTCCGTCACTCGCTCAAGATTACGCGATAAGTACCTACTGCTGAGTGTGTCGACGTCGGCGCAAGCGCCCGTACAAGTCTTTAATTTGTGAGCATTCGGCTCCGCACGACTGCATACGGCCAGGCAACGTTATTTTCACCTCTCTAGGTGCGTGCTTAGGTTCCTTTTTCCTCGTAGTGAGCGCCTGGTGTCATTAGTCAGATTTAGTACGTTATTATTGCGTAGGTATTTTCGATTTTGTGTGATGTATCTGTTACGTAGTAACTATTAAGTAATCTGTGCCGTCACCTTGAGACGTATGGGTTTATGAAAAACAGAAAAGAATGGCGCAAATTCATTCTTAATTATTTTCTTCAGGTGTGTGGTTCTCAATGCATCGGTGCAGACGCGTGCGAGTCTTCGAATACGTGCCTTCGACGCGTGCGACTCGTCGCTGCCACTACCACGCCTCGCGCGACGACACTGCCTGCACCCTTGGCGCTTGGCATCCGTTAGCACAAGAAAAGGCCCTTGCAGAGCGCATGAGGGACAACTCGGACCTTGACGTGTTTCAGAGAGGCTTTATTGATATACCTGGCGTTCAAACTGTTACTTGTACTGATTAAGTTCTATGATAAGTTATAATTATATGATTCTAAGTTTGGAACGGGCTCGTTCTTTCGTCCACTTCTGTAGGACCTGGTGTTTACTGGACCCCGCATATCAGACTGGTGTGCTTACGCGCAGTACGTTGCGTCCTGTTTTTTGCGTGACATAAAATCATCATTTGGGTACACCCGATTGTGAAACGTCGATCGAAAGTGAGTATCTTTCGTGATTTTATGGGCGAATGAAGCATTGTAATGAGTCTAAATTTTTCAGTTGTGCAGGACACTGGTATGTACACTTCCATTGAAATATATGTCTCATTAAACGGGATCCTGTTTTTTCTTGGACTACGGGATCCAGTTTGCAGACAAAACCGAATAACAAAATTCTACGGGATCGGGTTTTTGAAGGATTCTGCAAACGGGATGTTCACGTGAATGCTAGTATTTAAACACTATCGCCAAAAAACCGATCCCATACGCAGCTGTGGGAGCATGTCGTAAGGCGGCGGCTATCTCTGTAATTTACTCGCTAACACTCGGTATAACTCTTGAGTTATTTTTCTGTCGGGCATGTTATAGAACTACCTCGCGAGAACTTAATCAGAAGATCATGCTTAACTCCTATAGAGCTCAAGTCTTAAGCTTTGCCTATAAACCCTTTGGGTTACTTTACTTTTTACATATAGAAATACGAAGGCGAAGTTTTCTAAGTAGGGTTTTAAAGCGGAAAGTAGCCACAGCGTGGTTTCAATGCATTGACAATTCCTGTAAATCGCACGCTTGGTTTAATAAGGTCACATTCGCAAAATTACAACTTTTCAGCAAATAGGTTTCAAGATTCTACAAACGGAATTAGTCGAGTACTTTTTTATTTCATGTAATTCGTACTATTCTTATAATTTTCATGTGATAACACTTTTGACGTATGCAGCTTGACTTTGTTTGCCTCTCCCGATCGGAAACTGCGTCTTTTTCGAGTCGAGGCGCATAATTGGGATTCACAACTGGCCGATCGGAAACTTTTAATATTTCTAATCGGAACAATAGTTGATTTAACTCATAAATTAGAAAGATATAGTAGACTGATTCCTAATCAGGTTCATCTTCTCGCTCAGAAACCCATCTGATTTCGAGACTACCCGGTCGGATCAATTCAGATTTGAATCAAAATCAGGATGCCGGTCACATGTTCGTGGCGTTATTAAATCAAGGGTACGAAATAATTAATAATATATTATATAATTGTAAAGAGAAATATATAAAAAAACAACAAAAATCAATTAGAACGTCTTCCTATGAAATTTTGAGGTGCCTAATTTAATGTATGCGGACAATATTTAAAAGTAGTAATTAAAAATAAAATAGTAACGAATGGTTTTATTAATATGATATAGTAAATCATTTAGAAGAAATATTTGTTTTTTATTTTAATGTTGTCCTCTATTTTGTTTCTATTATTTTCTTAATAATTTATAGTAGTTGTAGAGCTCCTTGTGAGATCGTCTAGGGAAATACTGCCACCTTACCTATTTCTGCCGCCAAGAAATAACGTGAGCATTATTGAGTTCCGATTTTGGTTTTGGGTGCCCCAACAGCACTCTGAAAGTTGTGGCAAATAAAATTGACTGCTCCATCCAGGCCCACTGGATGAAACTTCATGTGGCGGTTTAAAGTTTACTTATATGTGTTAGATTAATTTCAATTTTATATTTAAGCAATCTCAATATTTTTTTATAATAACGTAAACACTCAACATAGCCCCGCACTAGGGAAACCCTGTGTCGCGGGTGCCATGGACACACACGTAGACGACCACAAATTACACCCAAACTCACGATAGAAATAAATGTAGGCCATACAAAAATTTCTCCTTTTAATGTTGTAATTATTCGTGATTGTATATTTTTTGAATTTTAATATATTTTAATATTATCTTATTTTATTTTAATTTTAGCATTTGAATAGCATCATACTAACCTTATTCCTAAGTTCTTTACTAACAAACTGTGGATAATTGTTTTTGGTCCGAAATAAAGTCTTTATAGTTATTTGAAGGGTAAGGGTGTTCGTGAAATTACAGACACATGAAACTTGTCAACTTATGTCTCAAGGGGACGAGCGCAATGGCAGTGTCTCTAAGATCTTTGTTATCTCTGAGTGGCATTGCAACTGCTATGGGTAGGCGAGCCGCTTACCACCAGGGACACGACTTGTTCGTCTCATCACTTGGTGTCATAAAAATAATAATAATAATTTGATACTAAGTCGATTATAATGATGTACTGAAAAATATTGATTATATATTTATTTTTTTTATATTGCAAAGATATTTTATAAAAAGAATAAACGAAATATCCAAACGATAATCCAATTTATTGAACAATGTATGTTATTGTCTTAGTGTCCGTGATATGCCCTTGTGTTATCTTGTATTTTTAGCGATTTGCTAGTTGTAGTAGGCCGTTGCGTCTCCTACGCATACTGATGATGTTGCCGGCTGGTCCCTAATTAACAATTCTGCGCGAGTGCACGGAATTAGCACTACTTCCGAGGTGTGCACTGATACCGGTCTCTTGCTTCCTACTTCTTTTATCAGTTGCAAATATCAACAGAGTCCTTAGTCCAGAGTGTCAGTTTTTCATTGTGACAAACGTAACCATCGCGTTTGCGTTTAAATCATAATTAATTATTAATACAAAGATCGAACACTCAGAAAAAATTCCTTCGATCCGGCCGGATTCGAACTGACGTCTTCTAGCTTACCGTACCAGACGCTATACCAACTAAGCCATGGAACGAACCAGCGGATCTCACGAATTTTTCTATGTGCTTGCGTCGTGTCTTTGTATTTGGTTTTTCAACGACTTTTTAGTGTAGCGCCATCTATGAGAAATCTATGAAAGAGTTATCATTTTTTTTCTGAGTGTTCTATCTTTGTGTTAATAATTATAACAAACTAGTGGAGTAATTTCCCAAAAAATAATTGGATATCAATTCAATAAAAATTTAAAATCATAATTAATTAACTGCCTCCGTGGCCGAATAGGTACCATGCTAGCGCATAGGTCCTAGTTTCGATTCCCGGGCTGGGAGAAATATTTGTAAGGCCTACATTTATTTCTCTCACGAGTTTGGGTGTTATTTTGTTGTTCTCTATGCGTGTGTTCCATGGCACCTGCGATACAGGATTCCCCTATGTGCGGGGTTATGAGAGTGTGTGTTACTGTTATTATTATTATAATTAGTATGGAATTCGAACAACAGCTCTTACGGTGAGTGGCAGAAACAAAAAATATTCACGAAGACTGGTGCGCCTAAAACGCTTATTAGATTACCCAATTTCGAGGGACCCTAGGTGTAACTTATTATTTAAAGATCTAAGGGTCCCTATTTTGGGTGACTTATATCTATATATATAATAAGAGTGGCGCCCTAATTAGGAACTACACTTGACGCTTGAACTACAAAACTACGTTTTTAATAAGTTGTTTTTACATTAAATAAGCCTTTAAAATACTTTCGTAGTGTGAGCACACGCAACGATTAGCGAAGTGAAATTAAAAGGTACACTCGCATGACACAACACAACTTATTGCTATTAGTTAGTTCGAACGCAGAACGCAGCAGGAAATTCAAAGTAACCAATCACAAGGCTTTAAATTGTAATAATGAGTGTTTTGGTATTTTAGGGTTGGTCAGTTTGAATTTCGTACTGGTTTCCTAAAACGAATGACCCGATATGGTATATTATTTAACGGAATTGGTGTTTCAGTAGTAAGTGCTCTGAGCATTTACAGGTTAAGTTCTCGGGTTCGACTGCTAATTAGACCAATGCAGTAAAACAAACTGTTATTGATTGGATACGCTCTAGGTGGCCTGGTTTATGGTAGGTATTAAGTGACGGGACGAACACGTCGTGTGCTTGATGGTTAGTGAGACGCCCGTCCATAGCAGTTGCACTGTCACTCAGAGCTTTAAATCGCAAAGATCTGAGGGGCACTACCACTGCACCTGTCACCCTGAGATATATCGATACCTCCAATGACCACTACGCCAATTTAATTTTTGGACCTGTTCTGTTTTTGTTTTTTGTTTCTTTTTTGCACAATATTCGTTCTTTTGTTTTTTTTTCGGATTTTGGTTTTTGTTTCATTATTTTTTTTTTCACAAAATTCGGGAAGCATAATGTCAATGCGTTACTTTCTCAAACTCATATCTTATAAAAAGTGCTTCTAAAAGGATATGTAAAACTTTCTTTTTATTTTAAATTTCTTATCAACGGTGTTAATTTCGATACATTACTTGAAGAATAGGTAAATGCCAGTGTGTGAATATGAAGGAAATGTGAAGTGAAATCAGCCTGCAAAATTTGTATATACAATCCATTTTTTGGATTTCAGTAACTTTGTGCTTTAAGATACGAGTTTAAGAAAGTAAGGCGACGATATAAAATAAATATGATTGTTTAGAAAAATAACAGAAAATGACCAAAAAATAAAGATGGCGTAGTATTCATTGGAGGTATCGAAATGTTCACAAGTTCCATGTGGTTGTAATTTCACCAGCACCCTTAGCCTTCAAAACCGAAAACAGTAATGCTAACATTACTGCTTCGCAGCAGAAATAGGTAAGGTAGCATTCATAGATTTAAACCCTGACTATTTACATCTCTGACTATTTACAACTAAATATTTGTTGCAAATCGAGTTTTCTTCAAATTTAATACTATTGTTACAAAATATTTATTGCTTTCTGATCTACATGTTTCGATTTGCCTTTATATTGAATCGATTCGTTTGAAAATGGCATTGTGATAAATCTATTATAATAAATGTTACATCGTATGCAATTGAATCGATCTTCATAAAAATGGGATCGCAATGTGCATACTTAGTAGTGAGAATCCACACATTGTATGTTGGGTATTGTGTGGAGTTTCCTCTTTTTTGTCTAAAAAAGATTTTTTTACATCGAAATTTGTAACAAGTACGGAATCCACGATTTTGGGCAGAAATGGGCTAAAACCCGCTTAAAACTCTAGCCGACTGATTAGGTAGTACTTTCCTGAACGAACTCTTTCTCTCTTTTACTGCTACTAAATTTCGTCGATTAACAAATAGTTAATTAATAATTGCCTAACAAAACAGGTTTACGGTATCAGAACGAATGAATAGTTCTCATCTACAATCGCCACCTGTTCAGTGTGACTAGATTATTTGATCAGGGGCCTATGACTGTTATTCCCATTTTATTTTTAAACCATTATCAACATTATGTTTTATTTAACGTTTGTATTCTACTCAATAACTTCAAAATTACATCAAAATCACGTATTTCGTTCTCACGTGTTTTACCTTTTTTGATTTTACCTGGTTATTTGAATTTCAAATTAATGGCAGTGATTTATGAGAGTTGTTTTAGTGATTTCCTATAAAAGGTACATATATATGTACATACGAGTAAAGACGGTATATTGTAGAATCAAAATTACAAATAATGAAGTACATTGTAAAAACGTCGTGGCAACCTAATAATTTGACCTACCGCATCTCAAGCAGAGGCTTTGGGTTCGAATGCGGGCTCTAATTATAACATCAAATGACGGGACGAACAAGTCGTGCGCCTCATGGTAAGCTACATGCCTGTCCATAACAGTTACAGTGCAACTCAGAGCTTTAAATTGCAAAGATCAGAGAGGCGTTACCACTACGCCCGTCACCCTGAGACATAAGTTGACAAGTCCCAGGTGTCTGTAATTTCACCAGCACTCTTAAAAACCGGAACACACATTACTGCTTGTCGGCAGAAATAGGTAAAGTGGCAGTACTTACCTTGGACAAACTCTTTCACAAGGAGCTCTACTGCTACTAAAATATTTCATATTTCCATCTTCCATATGGTACGTTGGTGT